TGTGTGTGTTTTTCTCTCTCTGTTTCTCCTCTTTCTCTCTGTTTCTCCTCTGTGTGTGTGTGTGTGTGTGTGTGTGTGTGTGTGTTTCTCCTCTCTCTCTCTTTCTCTCTCTCTCTCTGTTTCTCCTGTGTGTTTTTCTGTGTGTGTTTCTCCTCTCTCTCTTTCTCCTGTGTGTGTGTGTGTTCTCCTCTCTCTCTCTGTTTCTCCTGTGTGTTTTTTTCTGTGTGTTTCTTCTCTTTCTCTCTCTCTTTCTCTGTCTCTCTGTGTGTGTTCTCCTGTGTGTGTGTGTTTTCTTTCTCTCTCTCTCTTTCTCTGTGTTTATTCTCTCTCTTCCTCTCCCTCCCCACTCTCTCTGTGCGTGTATGTCCATCCACGTAAGAGAGACCGAGGGAAAGGGATGTGCGGGGGGAGAAAGTGCGCGTTATCTGCCCGGGCCCTAAGGGAGAAAAGCACCATCTACAGTAGTCCCCGCTCCTCCCTTCCTCCAAGGCATCCAAACGACGCCATGCATCCGGGGGTCCGTCCAAGCTGCTGCGCTTCCAGCGGCTGCGGGGCTGAGTTAACTCACCGGAGAGCTCGTCCGGTTCCAGGCCAGTCTCGGTGTCCAAACCACAGATCACGAAGTAGTCGGCGAACCGGCCTGGGGCAGACGAAGAGGAGCTGCCGCCGCCGCCGCCCCCGTCGCTTCCTCCCCCTCCTCCGCTCATGCTGGAGAAGCCCCCGCGAGGCGGGACGGCTCAAGTCGTCCGGCGGGAAAAGAAGGGATTAGGGGACGCCGCCGCCGCCGCCGCCGCGGCGCTCGCTCCGTCGGCTGTGCCTGCTTCAGCGGCCCTCGCTTCTGCCGCCTGCGCCGCTGCCTCCATGACGGAGCGGCCAGGGCCGCGCGCCGGGCTCGGAAGCAGGCCCGACAGACCAGCGGACAAACACGCATAACAGGACGCTCCCTCGCCGCCCCCCTTCCCTCCCTCCCTCCCTGCCCAGATGTTTCGAGGAAGGGGGTTAGGAATGGAAGCAAGAACCGCAATGCTGCACATGTGCAGTGAGCAAAAAGGATGACGTGATCCTTTGCGGGTGAATATCTGAGGGGTGGAGCGATGCGCGAGGAGCTCAAGGCCGCTCCTCTGACGGTTCTTTCTTCGGTACCCAGAGGGTAGCTTTCCCGTCAAAAGGTGTTTCCATCTTTCTTCTGTGGAAACGTTCCGATTACTATTTCTTTGCGCCCTTCTATTTCCTCATGTTTTCGGTTAACTCCCCTTTTTTTCCTTTATTGGAAGGACATCCCCCCCTCTTTATGCCGTAATTGCATCGCTCCATTTCCCCCCCCCCCTTTTAACTTTCCTTCCGAGTACATGATGAGTTCCACTCAGAGTTTGATTAACTCTATTTATGGCAACCTCTCCGTGAAACATGCAACACCCCCAATTCTCTAGAGGATGATAGCTTCACATCGAGGACACTGTTCTATTTAAAATTATCCTGCATGGACCCATCTCCTTGCCGCTTTTTACCACCTTCCTAGTTCTCACTTTCATTGTCAAATTATTGTCAAATTGTTATTATTGCCACATCATTGCCCCAAGAGCTGGGAACGTATGAGATCCTTTGCAAGAAGACGAATAGTGAAGAGCACAAAATCCAATAAATTCTACTGGCCAGCTTTGTATGTATGGGCTTCAACCAATGCCTGGGATGCATATCACCAGGCGCTATCCCTGAAAGTGATCACATGCATACATTTATGATTCAAGAGTTGTCTCTCACTATGCTCTGAACTTTTTAATCTTAAAAAATGGAAGTGTTTTTTAAATATAAGTCCTCAAGGTCCATAACCATTTTTTAATAGATTTGTTACCAGTGTTGCTTCTGAGTTTTGTTTTCTATATTTTAAAGAGCATCTTCTTTTTCCTTGAAATGTTTTCTTTTTCTTAAACATTTAAAAGACAAATATATTTGTTTCAGTCCTCTTATAGGGAGATAATTGTGCTTTTTATTCCATTTTCTATCTTAACCCCTATTGTGCTTTCACTCCAATCTTTGCCATGTTTTCCAAATTACTTGAAATTTGAAGAATATTTGTCTGCCTTTTATTCTTTCAGCTCTGTGATTTAGAATATCAGCCATCCAGAGAAGCATATACTAAATTATATACTAAATGCTAAATTGTACTCAAAAACGTACAATAATCTTATCTTACTTTGAACCGTCTTACCAAAAGTGCAAAATTTTTGAGAATATATAAATATTTTTATGTTTCAAACACCAGCAGGCCTCTGGCTGCAATTTAGGGTGCTGGTTATTATTTTCTTAGAGGTTTAAAACATAATGGTTTCAGGTAGAGATAATTGTGCTTTTGGTTATTACCTTTAAATCATTTGAATTAATACCTTTACATCTATTTAACAATGTCACCTGATGGGACCTGGGAAGTGGGTTGAAGCATTCTCTTTTGGAACAGCATCCTGCTCTGCCCCCTCCTCCAAATATAACTGACCCTTCCTCAGGACATGTTCAAGAGTTTGAAAACTTGGCCTTTTCTCCGGGCCTTAGGTTAGAGTGGCTGATGGGCCCTGTATGTCTGATTATCTTTTAATTGTTTTACTATACACCACTCAGAATTGTTACAGAGTTTCTAAAATAAAAGTTTTATGCCAAATAATGATGAACAAAACATCTGAAAAACTCTTTTAGAAGTGATGTGGATACTAAGTAAGTACTGCATAGCAAGTTGTAACTTGCTCTACATTTATTTTGCTTCAGTTCTGTATTGCTATAAGATTCATTCTTCAGAAACTAGCTGAATTACTCCAGCAACATTCTTCACTTGCTCTAAGTATCCATAAGGTCCAGAATGAAAGAAATCAAACAAGGAGCTGTTGGTAATTTTTTTTAGATAGTTTTTTATTAAAATATTTTTATATATAATAAGAAATATATTCAAAGAAAGAAAAAAATACACTGTACTAATTTGTTTTCAAGGACACACTGTCCTTCTTACCAGGACAGTGGTAAGTAAAATACAGTAGATACCTTCTGCTTGAAGCAGAATTTTCACCTAGCAGAGATGCTCTTCCTGTTGTGTAGGCCAAGCCAGATTAGATTCCCCACTCACCAGCCCTCATCTCCTATGTATATGAAATACTTTATTTAAAAAAAAGAGGTGGAATGCCAGAGAGTAGAGGAAAATTTTCAGCAGGGAAAAGTAGAAAGATTTAAATTTAACAGCCAGAGAGAGCGAGAAGACAAGAGACGTTCACCTCTGTGTCTGTGAAATGGAGAAGTTAAAGAGAACACTGACTTCTAACAAGCAATCTAATTCTTAGTATTAAAGATCATGGTGAACTCCTGGCTAGGATTGAACTGAACTGTACCAGAAGTAACTTCAAGACTTTGCCCACAAGATAGAAAGAACACAAATAGTGCTAAGGTAGGAGCCAACATAATCTGATATTAAGACATTGTGCTAAAGCAGTATGAATAATTCATGGCCCAATTGTTTGGCCACGTCTTTGAATAAGTCTATCTTGAGTCTTATGACCACAGAGCGTGGGAGAGAGGGTACAGAAGATGATGGATTCCAGACCTTCGGCAGAAAAATAGATTGCGATCACACCAGGTGTTATTGGTGTCAACTTGTCAAGTTAGACCAAGTACTTAAGAAAAAAAGGTATTTCACAAGGACTATACAAGGTATAATATCAGAATTTTGAAAGCCTTTCAGAGTTTCTCTACCTTCCCTTTCATACCCTCAAACCACCAAACCCAATCAAATCACTTTCTCATTCAGGGCTTACTGGTATTTATTCAACTGCCCTTGCATTCCTTCTTCAAAGTTTTTGCTGTGCTTCTCTATATTTGAGGTAGAGTGAAACCCAATCAAGTATTGGATAACATGTCAAACATCAGCTTTATCATATCACTGAGGCAAGTGTCCTAAACAAACAAGACTCCCAATACTTCAAATGTGAAAAGTAGAATTTTTCCAGGAGTGATTTTCCCAGGTCAAAACCCAAATAAATCAGATTTAATCTAAAACTCATGAGAAAAAAAAAAGCCCAGAAAAACTCCCAATAAAGTTTTCCCTGAATTCAGACTGGATGCTATTCCATCCACAAAATGACTGAAAATGTTCATGAATGTCCATTGTGAGTCTGAGTGGCTAACCAACTTAAAATCAACCATCCATCCATCCATCTCATAACCAAGATAAAAGCCAATCTGCCACAATTAATCTCATAGGCTCCAACTAGTATTCTGACCTCCATTCCCCAGACATATAAATCTTCAACGGTTCTAGTTGTCTCTTCTTTCATTTGCTTAATTATAGATGTTTTACTTATATTTGCCTTGTACTATATTTTTAATTTGTAGGTAAGTTGCTATAAATCTATATGGAGTAAATTAAGGTATATTCAATCACCAGACCTTCATATGTTGCTGCAGTACAATTTCTAAAAAGGAAATCCATCCATCCAGTAATTGGCTTGTTGACACCAATTTGCTGGTGCTTATTTTATGAAATAGCATTCCTCTTGAGATTCAGATGACAGCAACGCTGCTACCCCTCAAGTAAATCTTAAAAGATCTGGCTTCCTGCCCCCCCAAGTGTTAAGGCCAGTTTATTAACAAAGCCTGATATACATATGTATGCTTTGCTATAACATTGTTATGCTTTGTATTAAGAGTTGTATTAGAGTTACAGGATTAACAGCTATATAAATTCTATGAACAAACAAATTAATATATAAACTCCCACGTTTTTAATAGTTATTCCTCTGGCTATTCTAACATGAAAATAAATTGGATCTGACTAATTTAACACATATATTTCATGTCATTCTCTTCCAAAAAGAGTAAAAGCAGAATGGAAATTATCACTTTCAAAGGATAATAAAATAAAAACATCGATATTAGTCTGAAGTTATTAATATATGCTGTAATATTTATACTTTTGCAGGCTATATTTGGAAATACTATAGCCTTCTACAAGGTATTGATATATCCCTGCCCGTAGAAGAATATCTTACTCCACAATAGTCCCATCTATAAGATTATTTTGAGTAATGAAAATGCAGAAAAAACAAAACTTTGCATATTAGCTCTGGTTTTTCCTTCTATTTTCTTTTTAGCTTTTTAAGATGGAGAGTTCCATCTTGCCCTAAAAGATGTATAGGCAATAGGAAAAAAATATCCTGCATCTTTATTTTCTTTTAGCTAGAAATCAATTGCTTCATACTGTAGACCTCTGCAGACCGCTGCATTGATATGTATTTTGAAGGATACCCAAATATTCCTAAATGTTTTTCAGATTAATTAATAAAACAAACAAGCTCAGAGAGCACCAAGGACTCCTTATTTCAACCCTACTACAAATATTCTCCTTTATTGGTACAAGTATATACAGTAGAGCCTCTGGTCACAAATGTTTCTGACCACCACCAAATCGGGTTCTGACCAAAAATTCAAATTATTTTTCTGCAGCCTTTCAGTGCCATTTTTTTTATAAACACCAAATTTCCAAAATTAGGTTCAGGTCACAACTAAATCGGGTTGCGACCAAAGTTATGGAATGAATTATGGTCGTGACCAGAGGTTCTACTATATTTGCAAATATATAAGGATAATGAATGGATGAGTTAAGTGAAAGGGGAAGATTAAAAGATCTTGAATCCAGATCAGATAAATTCAGACTCAGTTATCTGTCAGCGTTCATGTAGAATATATTTTTCTTGCAGATGTTTCATTACCCAAAGTAGGTAACATTGCTGCTAGCAGTCCAACACTGATGATATTACCTAGTCTGGGTCATGAAACATCAGCAAGAAAATGACAAAAAAGAGAGTACCAAGGATCCCTTATATATTTGTTTATGTATATTTTATACATTCATTCACTCTCTCATACTGTTCATTCATTTCTATATTCTGTATTCAGTTCAGATTCATTTACTGTACCATCTATTCATTCTTGACCCTTTTTGTTGTTTTACCACATATTTTTCAAACATACAAAAATTTCACTGTTATACAACAAAAATAGGCATGTGTACCTCTTATTGCATTCATTAATAAAACTTGAATTGAAACATAATATTCCATAATTCAAATCTATTCACTTTAGCATACATTTTCTGTAAATCAACGCATGTACAATAAACATTCTCACATTATGTCTCTGAATGACCAAATTCATCAGATAAGTTTTAAGTTTTATTAAACTGACATCATTACAAGATGTTCTTGCTTTATGGGTTTGCATGACCTTTAGCGGGTTTTTTTTTTTTAGAAAGGAAACATGTTTTATTTCAATATTTCAAAGTATATTAATTCTTTTTAGATCTGGTATACCAATGTTTTTCACTGCTGTTTTTTATATTCTGTTGTTTTAAATACTGAAACAATCTTCTGTATTTACTTGACACTATCTACAGATACCTTGGAGTAAACCCACTCTTTCAGAAACCTTTCAAAGTTACACTGGCACTAAACAAGGGGAGAGTTACAACTGGAACAAAAGCTGCAGGTGTCAGTGTCCCCACTGTCATGTGATTGCAATGGGGACACTTGGCAACCAGCCTGTGCTTAGGATAGTTGCAGCAACCAGTGTCATGCGATGGCCATTTGTGACTTTCCCTGCCAGCTTTTCACAAGCCAAGTCAATGGGGAATCTTCTAGATCATATCACTTCAGTATCTCACTATTTTGTCTACCAAAGAACTCTTGGACGGCACGGTGAATACAAGCTGTGATGGGTAGGCAGCTGCCCACACAGCCTCATGCTGGGTTGTAGTATTGCCCACTTAGGCCACTTGTAGTCAGTCCACTGCAGCTGCCCAGTTGCTTGTTTACCCTCATGGCACAGCACACACTACCACCCAGCCACCCTTGCACCAGTTGCAGCACTCACCCACACATCCAGCCACTCACAATGTATCATCTGCCCATGTGCTTGGCTGCGCTCACACTGTAACACCACCCTTGATCCATTGGCCTGCAAGATGCCTTAGGAAGGACTTGTTATAACCAGGACTTGCAACTTCCTGCCAGCTTCCCCATTGACTTTATTGGAAGCCAGCCTGAAATCATGTCATGGTCACAACAAGTCCTTACTTAATAACCCAGGACCCTCGCTTTATGACAGCAGTGAAGACTGCCAGGGTGGCTATCGCAAAGGGTGATCACATGATATTGTGCTTAATGGCCTCATTGCTTAGCTATGGAAATTCTGATCCCAATTACTGTGGTTAAACAAAGACTATTTGTATTCTTTATTTTTAGTTTGATAGGGTTTTTTTTTAGTCACGGTTTAATTAACAGTCATATTTTAATTGTTAACTTCTCTTTTTAAGAAACAAAACTTTCTGTACTATTCTTTATTGTTGGCTCAAAAATAAAAATGGTTTCAGTTTCTCTCATTTAAAAATAAAGCATTTCCCCAAACTTTAGGATCGAAATAGTCTGTATTCAAACACTAGGTTACATGTATTTGGTAAGAAGAAATTATTGCCTTCTACATGAAACTCCAAAACATACTCACTGTTCAACTTCCTGCCTTTTCAGTTTGAACAGAAAGGCATATTTACCTTGAGTCTTTTTGTTTTGTTTTGCTTTGAAGTGATGGTCCCAAGTGCAAAATCTCATGCATGTGAAGGCTTTCCAAAATGAATAAACATATAAAAACCAATTAAAATGGACATTCTCACTTGCAGGAATACAAACAACTTACAAGATTGGGATGTTTGGCCATTTTTATTTTAGGATGCTATCAAAGGATTGATATTGGTTATTGCTGCCTCCCAACATATGCAGCCTTAATTTTATACCAAGACATAGATCAAAGATAAAACCAACAGAATAAATCAGATAAAAATAAGACATGCAGAACAAAAATACACAGAAGAGCCTCTTCAGATGATTTTAGTGGATACAATGAATATTCCTTTTTGTGCTGCTCTGCAATAATATATACAGAAAATGTGCTGCTGTCATCTTTTTACATTCAACAAGAGAATGTTAGCTGCTCAAAATCTTTACAGCAGTAAATTAGCAGAATTTTGTTTTAATCCTTGTAGCTTTTGTGTTCCAAACTAGGCACTTTTGTGATTTTTTGTAATGCCTGATAGGAAGACTAACCGAACAATGGAAATTCAATCCTCATTATCAATCTTCTCTACTACAAAGAGAGAGGGCTAAGAAAGGCTGTGAAAAAGAAAGCTTGCTGTGGTTATTGGATCAATAGCTTAGCTATTTTAATTATAATTTAGTTTTTAAAAATATTTAAAATGTACCACCCTGTATTATGTATTATGAACTGCAGAGTTATTAAAACACTAAACAAACCAATTCAAGTTATATAATATTCTGAACAACAAAGACAGAATATATTATTGCCTCTATATTGGCAGAATTCATCAAGAATATTTGACTCCCCACCGCCCAGTAAATAGAACTGTAAACAATTTACATAATTAGACTAAAATTGTTCATATCAAATTCATGGCATTCATTACAGATATATTTTCAGACATACCTGAATCTCTTAAAAGATCTAAGCAGTAGAAAATTCTTCCTAATTGCCATAATACTGCATGTAATGCTAAAAAAAGTTGCAGCAATGAATTGAATGAAAGGAATCTTTATACTTGGGAAACAATTAAGCATGTTAATTATATTCTTATAAATTTACACATAATCCTGCAATAAAACGATTCAATACGTGTTATAAAAAGTGGCAGAATGTTCATCCCACACTCTTAGATTGCAAGGACTTCCACTGAAATTAAGGCAGTTTTCAAGATGGCCAGGGAGTGGAGATTGTAGAATCCTGTATTTGCTTCCATACGTATTAATAAAAACTAATTAAAGATTAAATAATTGCTACTTCAGGTAGTCTCAAGTAACTTCAGTCTAATAAAGCACTTTCTTATCACATCCATTTAAAAACAATATTATCACTACAATCTGAATTAAGTCTGAATAAATCCCATGTTCCATCTTTTCAGTGAAAATTATTTCCAACTCACTTTCTGGATTATTAAATTTAAAAAAAAGATCCTTTGCTACCATAACTCAAGAATATTAATTTGGCCTTTTGTCTATCAGATTGCTGATCAATCATCCTGAAGGCCTCAGGATATTTTATTCCTAAATTGTCCACATTCTCCCAGCTTTTGTGCTGGAGTCAGTACAAGTAGGTCTTGACTTACAACCATTCGTTTTGTAACCAAAGTTACAATGGCATAAAAAGTGACATGACTGTTTTCACACTTACAACTGATGGAGTATCCCCACGGTCACATAATCAAAATTTGAATGCTTGGCATGTATTTATGACAGTTGGGAGTGTCCTGGGGTCATGTGATCACCCTGGCTAAGTCAATGGGGTAGCCAGATTTACTTAACCGTTACTAACTTAACAACTGCAGTGATTCACTTAACTGTCCAAGAAAGGTCGTAAAATGCAGCAAAACGCACTTAATAACTGTCTTGCTTAGGGATGGATATTTTGGGCACAATTGTGGTCAAAAGTCTAGGACTACCAGTAAACCACCACTATTAGCCTGAAATTAAAGCATATAGTGTTACAACTGCACTTTCAACAAAGCAACAGAATGCCTTTGTTTTAAAACTGAAATCTTAGGTGAGGTGGGAAACAAGTATTAATGGAATGTAATTCAGAGAGAAAAAGTATCTATAGGAATGGAATAGCGACTACACAGCCCAGATTATTTGCTATAATTAGATGCTTTATTGGTTGATGCTGTGATAATTTCACATTGTTGTAAACCGCCTAAGTCTTAAGAAGCAGACGGTATAGAAATCTGGGTAATAAAATATAATTTTTTGCACATTTGGTTTGCATATTGGCCTTGTTTCAGAGAAGGTCAAAAAAAGTTGACAATGTTCTGATTTTGCTTGTATGGTCTTTAAAACTTCGTTCATTTGATTCCATATATCTACCGTGGTCCTCATTTAACAACTGCTCATTTAGCAACCATTTCAAATATACAATGGCAATGAATGAGTGATAGTTATGGCTGAACCTGCATGTGCTGTGTTCTCATGGCTACTTGATCATGAATTGTGACCTTCAGCTTCCCAGAATCAAAATCAAAGGAGAAGCTGGTAGGAAGTCATGATCCTCACTTAACAATGGCAACTGACATTGCTGGAACTACTGTTACTAAGTGTCACGGTCATGTGTTGTTTTCAATATATGACATCACTTAACAGAATTTCCAGTTCCAATTATGTCATTAAACATGGACTACTTGTAACAGAAGTGTATGGAACAATCAGCATTAGATACAGAGTATGGGTGTCAAACTCTCTGTGTCACATTGCCGTCACATGATATATCACAATGTTTTTCCCCTTCGCGGAACTGGGGTGGGCATGGCCTGCATACGATGCATCCAGCCCACAGGCCACCAGTTGGACACCCTTCATATAGAGGAATGGTTGAGAGGTATTATGAAGTAAAACAGCATATTAGATCTCATAAATGGAGGAAAAATATTCAATGACAATAGTAATTCAACAAAAAGTATCATTACTTTTGAAAGTAAAACCCCTAAAGAGTACTTAAAATTCAATAGCCAATCTTCATTCCATTTTTAATACGCTACTCTCCCATTAGAAAAAGGATACATTATATTAGCAAGGCCTATTTACAAAATATACAATTTCTGCAGGTTAATCTTTGCCCAGTGAACAAATAATACTTCTTCCATTGTAGACTGAACTTGTTCATACTTAGGCACTTCTCATTCATTTCAACTGCTGGGTAAAATATGACTGAATGAACCTGGGCTTTAAGGGGAACTTGGAAAATATCTTTGGCGTTTTAGAGACAAGCACTGAAATTTTACTTAGCCAAATTGTATCTGTAAGTTTTAAAAATGGTGCAGCACCTGGAAATGTTAATAAATCCTGCCACCCAAAAGAAAATGACTGCAAAATAAAAGGCCATTCCTACACATCCTCCTATAAAACTATCACCATAAAATGTATTCTGATAACTGTTTTTTGATAGACAATAAGTTTCATAAAATTGTAACCAAGTAACTGAAATGCTCACAAACAAGGTAAGAATATTAAAAGTAGTATTTTTATGTGCCATGATAAATTAGCTTCATTTCAAGAAAACAAAAAATAATATCCTATAGTTAAATCACTCGATCTTTTACAAAACTGAGCAAAAAACAAAAGACCCAGAAATTTCTGAAAAACACTGGTCAAGCCATCTAATCATGTGTTCAATGAAGACTTTATGCATAAAGAAATAATGCAGTTTTTTTACTCCATTCGGATTATAGAATTCATTGTGCAATTTGTAATTTCTTAGGATTATTCAATGATGAGGAAAATATGGGAGAAACAAATTATTCACATTAAATTATCAAAAAGGCATCAGACAAAGCATAAATTCTGATTCAATGTTACAGATTAAAATTGACAATGTCTCAGAATTCTTCAAAAGGTATGGTTCACCTTAAAATTTTCTTCCAGCTGTAGATTGTTCCCCCCCCCATAAATATAACTGAACAAAAGATCTAAAAACTTCTGTGTCTCTTCAGCTTCCTTTTTCTAAGTTACTTAACATCCATTAGAAAAGGAATCACAGGAGTAGTGTGGATCCTGAGATGAAATGGAAAACAAAGATCCAGGTTGATCCTTATGCAAATTTTTGTTTAAGTTTATTCTGGAAAACTGCTGGTAAAATGGACAGAATTGCTAGAACTATAAGAATAAAGAATGAGTTCCAGGAAACAGCTTCGCCTGCTGTAGTGAGTTGATAAAGTGTGGTTCCAGCTTTAATTGCTACAAAAGATGGTGGTGCAACACCTGGAAACAAAAGGTAAAAATATTTTGGTTAGAAATTATAAATAGCTTCAATCAATACAAAACCATACTTTTATTATTAGCAAGTGATTGTTATTTTATCTAATCCAAAACAGTCGTAACAGAAAATGTGGACAGTTATGTTAAATTCCTGTGTATATCCTTCTTATGACAAGGGAATACAAGATGTTATGAAACCAATATCAAAAAAAGATTGCTTTACATCTACAAGTTAAAGCAGACTCTTTGTTTTTAAAATTTGTATGCCACCTGACCCCCAATAACTCTTATAGGTGGGATACATATTACTTAATGAATGAGTAATAAGTAGAAACCCTGGATGAAAAATGTATATTAGTTGGCCAAATTAGCTAAATGAATTAAGTTAAGTGAGCTACAACTTCCACATTCTGAGCACAAAACAAAAAAACAAACAAACTTAACAGGTTTCTGTTGTTATTTACCAACCTTATTTCAAGGATTCAAAATAGATTTTTGTGGAAGATACAAAATTGTACACTGATGCTGCAGGTCATTTTTTTATACTTGTGCTTGTATCTATAAACAATTCTTATAAAAAAATTCAAATATGAACATTAACCAAAATATCTATAATTGGCCCGATAGCACTATGCACTAATAAATCATACATACAAGGAAACATGTACTTTTTAAAATATTAACTATTAAACAGAATTCTTACCAAGAAAAGTACCAATAAAAAATACTTTTAATGGCACATTTAATACAGGAGAAGTTATATTGATGAACCAATTAGGAAGGAATGGAGTGATTCTCAAAAATAGTATGTAGTTAATGAGATGTTCTCTGTGTCTTTCAACCTGTGGGACATAAGAATACCAAATTAAAATAATCTTGCTTTGAAATTCAGCAGTTTCATCTTAACCAAGTAATGAATCCCATTACTGGAGCTCAGGAGTATTAATTAGCCTTTGTGTATAATTAAACCAGTACCAGCCACATAAAAGGGAGATATCAATGACCACAGCCACCTAAAATTCTAGAGGAGAATAAAAAACAAAAAAATAATGGCATACAAACTTTGGTAGCAGAGTGCAAGCTTTCACATTTCACAGAACTCCTAAATAGCCCATGAAACATCTTTTGTTTTTCCAACAAGTCTTCATCTGTTAAAAGCTGTCATTCATTGAAAGACATATTCTTCCAATTGTTTTAAACATGGTTAATCATTAAACCTAAATATCATAACAGTTCCTAAGTCATTCCATCTGCTTGTTTGTTGACTAGAAAACAGGACAAGATTCAGAGATGAAGTAATGAAACTCTGCTCATATGATGGATCCTTCTTGCCTTTTCCCATCATTATTCATCCTTTCACAAAATGAAAGCAAAGGGACCAGACATTGAAGGACAAAAGGCAGGCAGAATCAGTATTGGAAGACTGGGTAATTAGCAGGGCTGTCACATGCAAAAAATACACGAATATTTTAGCTCATGTGAGACACATTGACACTCCTTAATACTACAACTGGTTGTAGAAATAAACTAGCTTCTATGACTTCTATTAGAAGTAGGAAAAAATGTTAAGATATCCTTCTATTAATTGAATGGTTCAGCACATATGTTCCACCAGAGTGATCTTACCTGTTTTGACCATTTTACTGCTTTCTCTGTTAAATATCTATATACAAGTGGTCTTCCAACTAAATACGACAGCATGTAACAAAAAGAAGCTCCAAGTCCAGAGCACTGCAAATAAATGAAAAAGCCGTATCTTACAGAGAGATACTCAATTTAATGTAATTAACATGCAACAATGATTTGTAACAAAATTAAATAAATTTCAAAACAATGCAAAAATTAGATGTGCACATTAAAATTGTTTCTTTGCATTGTGTCAATTTAAGCTGTCTGAAAGGAAATGTTTAAAACACAAGTCTGAGTTTGACTGTATGGGGAAAAGTCTCTAATACACACACACACACACACACACACACACACACACAGAGAGAGAGAGAGAGAGAAAGAGAGAGAGAGAGAGAAGCAGCACATTTTTGACAACAGAAAAAAACCTGAGAAAGCAATACACTATAGTCCTTGCATCTGAACATTTTTAAGGTGGGCACCAAGCAAACAAGTATAGAAAGAGAGCACCCAAAGTAACTAGCACAATTATGAAGGCAAAATTCCTAACTGCTATTTATCTTAATTCTAAATGGGATGGCGTAACTTGTAAACATCTAGAAAAATTCAGTGAACAAGTTTTAGTAAGGCAGAAATTCTCAAATAATCTGGGCTTAAATTATCTAAATTGTGCCCAGAAATAAATGTATTAGGCTAGGCAGTTTTAAAAGTAAAAATAAATTAGTTTCTAGTTTAGTTAAAATTGCTATAGTTTTTTTAAAATTAGCTTTGCAAGAAACAAATTATAGTAACCTAATCTTTATCTTACCAAATTATCAGTAACCAGAGATGATATTTTTCTTGGAAAGTCTGTTTAGCTAAGGATGCTTTATGCTATAGTAAATGCATGATACTAAGAGATGTGAATTTCAACTTAATCCAAACAGTTTGATCTCAAATTCCTTGACAGTACTTGCTACACTGCCTTGGTTTATATTTCTGTTACATTCAGCCTCAATTAATGCAATGCATTATACGGCTGTATATTTTCCAACAATTTAGGAAGAGTATACTGTATATTTATCAATTTTGTAGCAGCTGTATTCTTTGTTTATTTGCTAGAGAATGCATGCCTCTTTTAAACTTTGGGAGTCAGAGACAAAGCCCTGTATTTCTTAGTATATTCATGTCATAAATCCTAGCAAGTCTTATTATTCATGTCATATTTGTGGAAACTTTGGCCAATAACGATGATTAATCAGGCATTTTCAGCAATAACTATATTTTTTTAAGCCTTCCTAAAAAAAAAGAAGTATGGAAAGTGACTTCTGAAAGTTTTTAAGAGATGTAAGTATCCAGATGTTGGTTGTGTTCAATATTATTTGCAATATTTATTTCTATGTTATTACTGAGCTAACATTTTGAATTGCATTTCTGTTATTTTAACTAGATTTGAATTCTCTAGGAAGCACTTAAAAAGTACAAATATATCCCCATGCAATTAGGTAAGAATAGACTTAATATTTTACACCACGGGTGTCAAACTCTTGGTGTCATGTTGCTATCATATGACATTTTTCCCTTTGCGGAACTGGGATGGGAGTGGCTTGCGCATGATGCATCCGGCCCGCAGACAACCAGTTTAAACATCCCTTTTTTACACCCACATATTCTGCTTTTTCACAATAGCTTAAGTATTTTTTAAAAAAGAAAGCGCATATTACCCTTGCAATAAATACTTACCAGACAAACAAGAAATAGAGCTAATGGAAAAGGATAAAGAAATCCTGAAAGTATACTCAAAAATATAGATCCAGGAATAGCAAATGTTTGCAGGCTAGATGGTGAGTCTAGTTAAGAACAAATTTCGATAAATTATTGAACAAACAAATCCTTCTGTTAAGTCTTATAGTATAATTTTATAGATTACTGAAAGGCAGACATGTTTTTAACTATAAAAGATTTAAATGCAAGATAAAGTTTGAAAAAAAGTATTTCCTGAATAAGCAATAATAAATTTCCATTTAATATTCTGTATGACAGAATATTAACAAATAGATTGAATCACAATCTGAAATCCAGGGTTAGGATGAAGGCTATTTTAAGATGTTCAAAATACTGAGAATTCTTACCACTGACATAAAAAAAATTAGGTCTGAACTACAATCATCATTTATCAGTAAATGAACACATCAATGAATCTCAACATTATCTCTTTACAGGCCACTTTATTTCTGTGAAAAATTCAAGCAAATTTTTTAAACTGCCTTACTGATTATATAAATTGCTTGTAGATGGCAGTATTTAATATCCTTGAATTTAATTGCTAAACATTGTTCATATAAGAATTGTAATATTACATTAACTTTTGATTCAAAAATTTATTTCAGTCCAAGTACTTTAACAGCAAAGCAATAGCAAATTCCACTCCCAGAGGAAGAACATACCAATAAAAATAAAGAATTATTATCTTTAGCAGAGTGTTAAAAAATTTCAAAAGTGATTTCACAGCAGCAAAATATCCTTTGATATAAATGCAAGAAGACTTCCCAAAACTTTGGTTCAGCTGACTTTTGTGAAATTTTTACAACTTAAAAGACAGGAATAGTAAAAATAACAAGTAACAGGTTTATTAACTTTCTTTTTTTTAAGCTCCAAACATTTCAAATGATTTCATTTATTGACTCCTATGTTTATAGAGATATTTATAGAGATATTTATAGAGTTAATGTTTTAATAAAGGAAAAACACTTTAACTCTACCTTATTAAATAAAGATGATCATGGTCTGATTGGGACCAAGTTTCAAGCCTCTGCTCTGACTTCAGTCAGGAACTAAAAAAGGATGGATACAATAAAGAAATGGATATATCTTTGCCAGCATTTTATACTAACAGGACTTGGGATCACTCAATAACTGTGATTCAGAGCAAATAAAACTAGAATATATCTTTACAAAATATCTAGACTGTAGGTTTTTTAGCATAAATTGTGCTGGACACCCTTCAAAAGCAGATTAAGCAAATTAATGCAGGATAAGTGATTATTAATATGGTTATGGTCAAATTACGGTAACGATATTTCTGAATACCAGTTGGTCTAAACAGACTTGAGGGGTGCTGACTCATATTCTATTTTCAATTTATGACTTCTGCTAGAAAATATCAAAAAGTACCCATTAGATATTTTGGATTTAACAACCATGTGGTTCACTTAATGACCACATGATTTGTTTTACAAACCATCATAAAAAAAAAAGGTCATAAAATTTAACCTGGTCTGGCGGTGCCTAAATTTATGACAATAATTCTGGGTTCCAAATAGGTCATAAGTTGAGGACAACTTATGAGGCTTGGCATTTCTTTCATCCATTAAAGCAGAGGTCCCCAGTCACCGGGCCCTGGACTGGTACCGGTCCGTAGATCATTTTCTACCAGGCCGCCGGTTTGCTGGGTGCCGCCATGTTGTTTCGACGAGAAAGTGCTTCCGGGGGAGCTTTTCCGGTTGGAAAGCGGTGTTTGGGTCCTGAAGGAATCCTCGCGCCTTAGTTTCATCAAAGGGGGCGGCAGCTTCGAACGAAGAGCCGTCCCGATGGCAGCGGAGATTAAGAAAGCACAAAAAAGCTACAAAGGAGGAGTTGAAGGTGGCGGGGAGAAGCGGGGCACGGCTGGCTGGCCGGTCGCTCGGCTCGCCTTGCCTTGTCATGTGTGCTGATGCCGGTACCGGGCCGCAGATCATTTTGTGATGCCGGTACCGGGCTGTGGCACAAAAAAAGTTGGAGGCCACTGCATTAAAGTCAATATGGAATTCTTGATGTTCACTGAACTGGCAGATATTTCATTACCTAACTGGGTAATATCATCAGTTCATTGAATGGGAGGTTTGCTGCCTTGGTGGTTCCTTGCCAGTTTTGACAGGGCTATGGTTTACTTCTTAGTGGTTCTTTGACTAGAATACTGTTTTTGATTGATGTTGATCCCTGCTTATTTGAATGTTAGCTGCTGAAGGGGATCTGTCTTTTTGTTTCTTTCCTAGATTTTTTACAGTTGTTTTCTTTGTATGGTATAGCAATAATACTTAGACTTATATACCACTTTACAGTGCTTTACAGTCCTCTCAGAGCAGTTTACAGAGACAGCATATTGCCCCCACAATCTACAGTCCTCATTTTATTGACTTGGAAGGCTGAGACAATCTTAAGCTGGTGAGAATTAAACTGTCAAACTGCTACCAGGTGGCAGTCAGCAGAATTAACCTGCAACAGTGCAATCTAACCACTGAGCTACCACGGTATGTTAACATGGTTTATCTCTATGCATCTATTTCACACTTTTATCTTAGAAGTGAAACCATAGCATTAAAAGCATTATTAATATATCATAATTAATCCACATCACATTCCACAGCAATTTGTATATTTTTTTAGGAAGGATACAAGACAAAGGTAGCAAAATAGGCCACTAATACTTGAACATAGAAAGTATCCTTGTACTTAGAGAGTACTTTTGCTAAAGCTTTAGCATCATCCATGTCTCTAGGAACTTTCATACATCCTCTTTCCTCTCTGTGGGGGAAAAACAGATTTTATTAATAGATATAGTGAACTCTTGCCTCCAGTCAGCAAAAAGTTACTACATATACTCTACCATGATATTTTAATTCCCAGTTTTTAATGAAAGCTTTGATCCCATTGAAATAATTTTGCAGCCCCGCATCGCTCAATTTGTGTAACTAATTCATCTATCCAGCGTCAAATCTTGTATAGTCACTCTAACAAGTCTACTTCAGAAATCATTAGATTGTTTTAGATGACCAAAGTCTTCCAACTTAATTTTCTGGCAATTATTAATCAATTTCAAAGTCATCATTCTAAACAAGGTTCCAGGACAGATTTCAGCAGAAATAAACCTCTCAGGTTCAATCATTTTCACCACTGTACAGCAGACAAAGAGTTGAAGTTTTATGCTGAGATAAAAATATTACTTATTTTTTGTATGGCCACCCATCTTAAAATATAAAACTTTGAGCAACTCATAGTAGTAGTAATAAAACTACATAAAATAATAAAAACAAAACTTAAAAAAACCCTGGCACCTCAGTCACCCATAGGCCCCCATCACTGTATCCCAGGATCTGAGTAAAAGGCCAGGTCTTTATGACCTTCCAGAAGACTGAAAGATGGGGTTTGCCCGATGGGCAAGGGTGTTCTACAAGGCAGGGGCAGCTACAGAAGCTTCCTAGGACCCATTTGATAGTAACATTTTAGGAAAGGGATCTGGAGCGTGCCAGTCCTATTAAACCTTATGGGATTAGCAAATACTCTCAGAGAAAACCTGGTCCCATGCCATATAGGGCTTTAAAGGTAATAATCAGCACTTTGAAATGCACCCAGAAAGAAGCTGTGAGCCAGGGCAGTTTACTCAACAGGGGTGTAATGTGGGCAAACTTAGGGGCATCCAACACTGTTCATGCAACTTCATTCTGAATCAGTTATAGCTTCTGGTGATCTTCAAAAGCAGCCCCATGTACAACACATTGCAGTCGTCCAGATGGAAACTGACTAGGATATGAATCACTGTGAGCAGGATCTTCTCAGTCCAGGAAAGGGTGCAATTGGCTCACAAGGCAAATCTGTGCAAAGGCCATGACTGCTACCTAGTTGAGTAGGGGCCTTGAGCCCAGAAGTACCCTCAAATTATATACCAGCTCAGTCTGGGGAAGAGCAACCAAGCCCAGAGTCAAAGCTGACATATCAACAGATCCTGGAACCAAAACCCAAAGCCATTCAATCCTGCCAGAATTGATTCAAAACTGTTCCTCTCTATCCAGACCCTCAAACCTCCAGCCACTCAATCAGCAGTGCAACAATATAAACTGCACAGCTCAGGGTAGAGAAATGTAACCAGGTAAATCAGCATAATGATAACACTGCATTCTATGCTATCCAGTAACCTTGCCCAATAGTTTCGTGTAGATAGTAAAGATAAGACGCAAGAGACTCAAACTCCGGAGCACCCCACATTACAGGGCTCTAGGGCTCAATCTCTCCTTTCCCACCAATACCCACTGGAATTGGCTATGGAGAAAGGAGAAGCACAACTGCAACACGGTGCCTTCTACTCTCAAGCCCATAGCCAATACAGAAATACAGAAGGATTTCATAATTCATGGACTTGAAAGCCAAGAGAGATCTAGGAGAGCCAGAATGGTTATACCACCCCTATTGCAGGGCTCTTCAAAAGTCCTCTGCAAGAACAACCAATTCAATCTCAGTATTGTACCACAACTTGAATGAAAAGAGTTCAGATTCACTTTACTGAGGGACATCTGAAGTTGAGTGCCAATCACCCTCTCAGCAACCTTCTCCACAAAGGGAAAGTTGGAGACTGGATGCAAGTTGTGCGTTCAAGGATGGCTTCTTAAGAAGATTATCTTTATGCTGTTGGAACTTTCATCCAGTTTACTTACAAACTGGGCAACCATTTTAATTTGAATTAGCAAGGATGCAGGAAATCAATATCAACCTATCTCAAATAATTTTTGTAGTTAACATGCATATTTTACCATTTGAAAAAAGTATCTGTAAATAACTATACTACAAGAATTTGCTAACACGAGAAAACTAAATTTAATTTGTTGGGATTTTTTGAAATTGATATTACATTATGCTTTTCTAGAGGATATGATTACAGATGTTAAAAATGGAATGAATTTATCATGGTATACTTACTCATTAAGTTGGGGAAAGTTTTTATATACCACCAACATAACAGAAGCAGCTGTTAAGAAGATGGACACTAAGATGAGGAGTGACATTCGGGCAGATCCACCTTCTTTATGTGCTTTTCCTGAAATGCAATAAAGTTTAATTAATTAATTTATTTTATTTGTATCCTGCCTTTATTATTTTTTGCAAATAACGTAAGGCGATAAAGATGTCCAACACAAATTCCTCCTCCTATTTATCTCACAACCCTGTGAAGTGAGTTGGGCTAAGAGAGTTTCAGCCCAACCCACCTCACCAAAAATCACCCAGCTGGCTTTCATGGCTAAGGTTGCACTTGAACTCATGGTCTCCTGCTTTCTAGCCTGATGCCTTAACGATGAGACCATAAACTTACATGAGGAATTGCAGTGAGAAGGAACATTGAGAATCTATACCGATTTCTCTAGAATTATAATCCAAGTCACATTTGGAAATATATATGAAATCAAACCGAGGAGCCAAAACGCAACATCAATTTTTATTAAATGTAATGTAATGAAAGATGTAAGAATATGTATGTAACATAGAGACAAAAGGGAGCTGAAATCCAACTGAATTTTTGGTCCCCAAGTGAAGAGGCAGTGCAATAAGATAATATTTAACATATGTGATAGCAACTACATAAAATAAACACTTCACCATTAATATTAAAACGTAAACTTGAGTTTAAAACTGCTATGCAAATTCCCTATTTTAAAAAGTTAAGAAAATGTTAAAACTTTATTACATTTCTTCCTTTCCCAAATATCTGTAATACTAATGTATTTTATAGCACGTTTTAAAATGCCAAGTAGTGCAGAACATAATACTGTCTTCCAGAGGTTGGTGTGTTAATGATTTATAAAGTTTAACTCCAATTATCCTTACATAATGAACATAGGTTGCTTAACAGTCTGCCTCAGCCTCAGGTTCCTCTTGTTACTTTTGATTTCCTATATGAAACAGTTGTTTCCTTGACAATTTGATGGAGTTCCTTCTAGTTAAGCCTTTCTTTGAATCCTCTACTTTCTCCTTAAAGCTTAATAGGACTTCACAGGTCTCATCAGCCACTATCTTGGGTCACTTTAGAAGGTTCTCTGACCATCTTTGAGATCTTTCAACTATGAGCTATAATTTTCCTCCAACTAATGAAGCTTATCCAAAATGATTTACCCATTCAGTTTTTAAATTGTTGAGTTTTAATACACAGTTAACAAAAACCAGGTTTTGGTCTCTATAGTATCATTTCACTGAGATGAGTTGCAGATTAAAATTACAAAAATAAAATATATCATTTCTTCACACATACATATACAAAAGAGGCTAGAATCATCCCTACAAGAGGCCTGACTCAACACTATTCCACGTTATGGTAAAAAATTGTATGCAATGCAGAAAAAAGAAATGTAACCAGATCTGGGTAGTACTGAAGACTGCAAGCCACTTCATTTAACAACTGGAGTGGTATATAAGTCTGTAAAATAAATTGTTTACACTAACATTATTATTATGGTTGGTTGCACAGTTAGCCAGATATTTAGCTGGATCTGGTACTTTCGTCCAATTACTGAATCTTTTCCAAGGACCTGGGATAGGAAGTTGTTTAATAATATAAACGGTATCACCGCAGGACGCAAGCTATTCCAAGTAAAGCTGCCTTTTGCAAATATATTATTACATTTATGTTCTGCCCAACTCCCAGCAATTCTGGGGAGTTAACAAATGAAAACCTGACAATAAAAACAAAAAGAATCAGAAAAGTGTACAGATGGCAGAATAACAAACTGTGTGGTACAAAAGAAAATAACTTGCTAAAAAGAGGCTAGAGTCACCTATACAAAAGGACTGATAAAAACCAATCACTACACAGTTTTCATATTTCATATTTATACAGGTAGTTCTTAATTTATGACAATGAAGACTATTACAGACATAAGCTGTAAAGCAGATCATTGTGTGACTGACCTGTTTTTACTACTTTTTGTGGTTATTAAGGGAGTCACCATGGTCATTAAATGAATCCATGATCACAAAGGAAGCCTTGTTCTCCATGGGACTTTTTTTTTGCCAAAAAACAGAAATAAACATGTTTTAAATCATGGTCATGTGACTATGGGATGCTGCAAGCAGTTATAAATGCAGGCCAGTTGCCAACTGCCTGAAATGTGGTCACATGACTATGGGGGTGGTGTCTGATGGAACCAGGTCGAAAATACCTTGGAGAGGGCTCCCTTTGGACAATAGCTAAGTTACTGGTCAAGGACTATCTGTATTTGCAAACCATCATTGCTTCTACCATATCAATACATCTATCTTTTTCAGGATCTCTTTTAATTAGAACTAAGCCATTTGCAGCATTCCTAAAGGCAAACAGATCAGCTTGAGCACATTTTGCCAGGAAAAGCCCAAGTTTTACTCCAAGAAAACTCATCATATTGAAAACCAGGGTATCTAATCTACAACCTACTTTGCAAGATAACTAGATATAGGGACAGTTTCCCCCTCTACTAAACACTTAGTTCTTGGAGTTCTAACATGTACATACAGTATATATCAACTCATACAGGGTGGCTCTATTATTAATTATCCTTTCTATTAGCTTCTTTACTTCCCCCTTTTATTGGTATTATTATTCTCTCGGATGCTTTGAAAGTACATAGTGTACTTCTATTACAGAGACAAATCACACTTCATCAAATAAAGTATCCAATTCAATTAAATTCATACTGTTCTCCGTATATCTCCAACTAGGAGGTATATGGAGTACACTGGCTCATACAAAGCATATATAAGCACATGGCTTCCAGAAGAACCTGAAATCATGGCTTTGTCATCTGGCCAATCTGGTGGAGAGCCTGCTAAGTGGCTACACTTTTAGGAAAATCAGTGGAACTTTCCCAGTTTTTCATACTTTTATCTGTAATGACTTTGTGGCTATTTTTGATTTGTATTGTTTTCTGTATTTTATCTTTGTAAGCTGCCCAGAGACATGATAGTAAAATGGGCAATTATATAAATTTAATAAAAAAAATGCTAGTAGATACAATATCTATATGCTTCAACATTAAATGTGAATGAATTGCTTATACATTAATAAAACAGGGCTATATGGTAGCCAATAAATGAAGAAAGTGTGTTCCTATTTCTATATTTAGAAATTTTTAAAAATAGTGCTTCCTCGCTGGCATGCTTAAGAAAGGCAGAATAAATTATCTTTAGCAAAGTTTATATACCTATTTTTAAAATTACAAATTATGAAGACATATAATTGCAGGGCCACTGGGAAAGGAGACCAAAAAATACTGAAAGTACATCATACATGGACATCTTTTTCTGATGCAAGAAAAAATTATAATACATATTTATGCATAGCAAGACTAGATTTCAAAAGTTGATCTTTCTAAAAAGTTTTAAGTATTGTTGATGGTGTAGAGACAACAGTAAGGTTGATACAACATGCTCAGCAAGATTAGATAAGACTAAATGGTTGGATTCATAGCATACACTAAGCAAAATAAAAATACCATATGATTATCATTACTTCAAAACAAGTTACACACAGAAAAATTGACTGAAATTGGCAAATTCTATGTTCTCCATGTGCAAGTATAATTAACTACATTATGACTTGTATTGTTTGATTTGCATAACAAAATATTGCTAATAATTAAAAGTGAATAATGTTCTCCTTTGCTCCCAAACTACATTGCTTTTAGGCAATAACAGATAACAGATAATCAGAGTTGGAAGGGATCTTATAGATCATCTAGTCCAACCCCCCACCCCACCCCGCCCAAGCGGGTTAGGGTTAGGGCAGTCCAATCTCTTCCCTGAAGATCTCAAGTGATGGCGCTCCCACAACTTCAAAGGTCAAGCTGTTCCATTGATTGATTGTTCTAGCCTCTATAACAACTGGTAGGAAACCTTCATTCTCCAAACATCTTCAGCATGCTAAAATATGATTGGCTAGGGCAGTTTATAATTAGGCATGTGGCAACTAAGTTAATTTCAGTAAAACAAAATTAGCATGTTGCAGTGCAGTAAACCAGAGATTAATAAATTCCACAAAGCCATGTTTGTGTAGGTTGTCCATTCCATTAGATTTAGTCATGTTACTGCAGTTACTCGAGTTAATTGCCCAACATCATCGATGGACATTTATGATGAGGGAGCCTGGATTAAACCATGGAAAACCTGCCTCACACCACATCATGATTCCAAGCCTGTCAAGTATAATCTCACAAGGATAATTACAGTTCAAAGCCAGAACACGTTTCCAACTGCCGGGGTCAACTTGAAAACGTGTGAAATGCAGGCACCCAGTATGACCTTGTCACTATGACGCAGCGTCCAACCCCCCCCCCCCCCCAATAAAACAAGCCAGAGCAAACCTAAAGCCTAGCCATTCTCCTTGAACCCTTGTGAACTGATGCCTGGGAAGAAGAACCTGTTGTCCTGTAAGTCACCTTTCTCTCCTCCTCGTGGGACAATGCAAATCTATCGCAACCGGATAACACAGCCGAGCAGGTCCAACAAAGCCTGCTTCTTTTTCCAGGCATACCCCGCATTCCTCCCTTGTATTCCCCTTCCGTGTCTGCTTCTGACCTGCAATCAACCGCTGATGCTTTTCCAAGGCAGCCTCTGCCTCCTGTAGCCCCTCCGCCTCCATCGTCCGCCGCAAGGCTGCCTCCGTTGAGCCCCGCTGAGCCATTCTCGCCTCGGCAACGTAGCCAACCAACCACTTACCGCCGGCCGGCAACAAACAGGCCCGGATCTACCTTCCCCCGCGCCAAGAACCGCGAGAGGAGGCGGGGTCGGTGACGGCTCCTTCCTCCACGCCACCACCTCGCCTGATGTATTTGGCGCAGGCGCAGAGTCGCATTCGCCGTGGAGCGGCTTCTGCTCGCTCCGCAGCTGCGTCGTCCCTCGGGTTGGGGTTGAGGGAGGCGCGAAAACTTGACGTTGTTCTGCGAAAGGAGCTGCGAGTTGACCAAAGTACTTTGAGATAACGCAAGAGGGTAACGCATAAAATGGCGCTCTGAACCTACGAGTGTTAAACTAGTCACTTATTCCCTATTTTTTAAATAAACGAAAAGAATAGCTGTGGTCTCTGGGATGTGATCAATTACAACTGGCAATAGTATTTGTTTATAAGCACAGCAATACAGGCTGAATTATTTTTCTTTCTCTTTGCCTAATATGGCTATAGTACAAATTTACATATATAAAACACTGAGAACAAACACTGCTATAGGCAGTCCTCAATTTACAACCACAATAGAGCCCAAAATGTCTGTTAAGTGAGACATTTGTTGAGTTTTGTCCCATTTTTTTTTGCCACAATTGTAAAGTGAATTGTTGCAGTTGATAAGTTAGTACTATGGTTGTTAAGTGAATCTGGCTTCCCCATTGATTTTGCTAGTCAGGTGTACAAAATTAGCACCGCACTCCTCTCCTAGAAGAATGAAATATTTTGGGAAATATTAAAAAAGCCAGAATATTATATTTCCCTGGATGATAAAAGAAATACACTGCTCAAAAAAATAAAGGGAACACTTAAACAACACAATGTAACTCCAAGTCAATCACACTTCTGTGAAATCAAACTGTCCACTTAGGTAGCAACACTGATTGACAATCAATTTCACATGCTGTTGTGCAAATGGAATAGACAACAGGTGGAAAGCATAGGCAGTTAGCAAGACATCCCCAATAAAGGAGTGATTCTGCAGGTGGTGACCACAGATCACTTCTCAGTTCCTGGCTGATGGTTTGGTCACTTCTGAATGCTGGCGGTACTTTCACTCTAGTGGTAGCATGAGACGGAGTCTACAACCCACACAAGTGGCTCAGGTAGTGCAGCTCATCCAGGATAGCACATCAATGCGAGCTGTGGCAAGAAGGTTTGCTGTGTCTGTCAGCCTAGTGTCCAGAGCATGGAGGGGCTACCAGGAGACAGGCCAGTACATCAGGAGATGTGGAGGAGACCGTAGGAGGGCAACCACCCAGCATCAGGACTGCTACCTCTGCCTTTGTGCAAGGAGGGACAGGAGGAGCACTGCCAGAGCCCTGCAAAATGACCTCCAGCAGGCCACAAATGTGCATGTGGCTGCTCAAACGGTCAGAAACAGACTCCATGAGGGTGGTATGAGGGCCCGACATCTACAGGTGGGGGTTGTGCTTACAGCCCAACACTGTGCAGGACGTTTGGCATTTGCCAAAGAACACCAAGATTGGCAAATTCGCCATTGGCGCCCTGTGCTCTTCACAGATGAAAGCAGGTTCACACTGAGCACATGTGACAGACATGACAGGGTCTGGAGACACCGTGGAGAACATTCTGCTGCCTACAACATCCTCCAGCATGACCGGTTTGGCAGTGGATCAGTAATGGTGTGGGGTGGCATTTCTTTAGGGGGCTGCACAGCCCTCCATGTGCTCGCCAGAGGTAGCCTGACTGCCATTAGGTACCGAGATGAGATCCTCAGGCCCTTTGTGAGACCATATGCTGGTGCGGTTGGCCCTGGGTTCCTCCTAATACATGATAATGCTAGACCTCATGTGTCTGGAGTGTGTCAGCAGTTCCTGCAAGACGAAGGCATTGATGCTATGGACTGGCCCGCCCGTTCCCCAGACCTGAATCCAATTAAGCACATTTGGGACATGATGTCTCCCTCCATCCACCAACGCCACATTGCACCATAGACTGTCCAGGAGTTGGGGGATGCTTAATCCAGGTCTGGGAGGACATCCCTCAGGAGACCATCCGCCACCTAATCAGGAGCATGCCCAGGTGTTGTAGGGAGGTCATACAGGCACGTGGAGGCCACACACACACTACAGAGCCTCATTTTGACTTGTTTTAAGGACATTACATCAAAGTTGGATCAGCCTGTAGTATTTTTTTCCACTTTAATTTTGAGTGTAACTCCAAATCCAGACTTCCATGGGTTGCTAAATTTGATTTCCATTGATAATTTCTGTGTGATTTTGTTGTCAGCACATTCAACTATGTAATGAACAAAGTATTTAAAAACAATATTTTATTCATTCAGATCCAGGATGTCTTATTTTTGTGTTCCCTTTATTTTTTTGAGCAGTGTATGTTTTAAAGATAAAAAGCAGCTCCCTGCCCCCAGCTGATATTTGGTGCCCATTAAGAAAAACTGGACCAGCCTACCTACAAGACAAAAGACCTCCAGCTCCAGGATGATGGGATTAAGACATGATCCTCCAGACAGGATTATCTAGCAGCAGAGCTTCCTGCATTCCAAAATCTCCTAAGGACATTGCATCAGCCAAACTTCAACCAAACGTATCTCAAACTCCTAGTTGCACATGGCCCCATGGGAGTCTCACAACAGCCAATAGAACACATGTTCTTGCACAGGAACAGGAAGCTCAAATTCAAAGCACAAGAGAAGGTATAAATACCTCCCCGCCCCTCTCAATTCTCAGCTGTACCAGGATCATGTGCTTGGTGGTTCTGTTCTTCACTAAACCCTCTTTCCAATCAGCCTCCATGTTTCCAGTGTCTTTTTCCCGGCTGGAACTGAACCACTTGGATATTTCTTCCAACAGTGGCAAAAGGTGATCACATGACCTTGGGACACAGCAAGTCATAAATATGAGTCAGTTGCCAAGTGTTTGAATTTAGATCATGTGATCATGGGGATGCTACATATTGAAAAACGGTCCCAAGTCACTTTTTTCAGTTCTGATGTAACTTTAAATGGTCACTAAATGAACTGTTGTAAGCCAAGGACTACCTGTATTTAGTACAGCTATAGATTGGCTATAGGCATCTGGAGCTGCTATCATGACATTTTCTTATGTTGAGGAAATTAAACTTAAAATACCTAGGCAATAATAATTATGTAGTATGACTTCATTTCAGATCCAGTTTATTTATTTATTTTATATGGCTAACCTATCTCTCATGACTGAACAGCTTAAAACAGAATTGATGAAATTCACCTAATGCAAAACAAAAACACATAGCAGTTAGGAATCATGAAAAATCCCATGAATACAACTAGGAAACAGGCTCTTGTGGGTGGATGGGGTGTTGAGGCTTGAGGAGCAAAAAATTTTTCAACTTTGATGTAGAGCTGAAGTAAGCTTCATTTAGTACTTTCCCAAGAGAACCAGAACAGGATATACAATATATCCTGTGTATGACTTGGTGACTGATGCAATTTTTGTGGGTGTTGTGCAACCTAATAAAAGGCTTTCTGTATTGAAAAAGCAACAGCAACTATCAACTTCTGTATGCTGCAAATTTCTCTAATTTGGTGCTTCTAACTGCAGACTAGACTAGAGCCTCCATAATCCAATGTCTGTACATAAAACAGACTGGGGGAGGCTATTCTAGAGAGTGCAAAGCACATTTAAAACTTTGGAAAAGGAGGGGAGGACATGAGGAATGCTGCTTTCTACATTCATCAGAGAAAAACAAAAAGCTAAAAAACTAGTTCCCCACTCAGTTGCAAGCCTCCCCACAATACTGAAAATTTCAGGAAAAAAGTTAGATTTAGTTATTGGCCATACAGTTGCTACTAAGCTTCACTTCTAATTCAACTAAGAAAGCTTATTGTCTAAAATTTGTGGCTTTCTGGGCTCACAAACTCAATTAACTCAGGTTTGATTAGGGCTTGGGTAAGAGACTTCCAGCCCTGCCTGCAAAATATGCCATGAGTCATTGTCAAATTATGTTTACATTGTCACCAAGAAGCCTGCATTAATGTGTCTGTGAAGTCACCAGGTGCTGAGTCTTAAAATGAGTGTTTATGTTTTAAGAGGACAATAGTATATGTGATGTTGCTAAAGGAGTTACAGGCTTAGTCCAAGTACTTTTAATTTTTCCTTCATTGTCTCCAATTTTGGCAATGCACTTATTGTTATTAATTTTAAGCAACTATTTAACACATTGATCTTTTTTTTCCCAAGCATTTATATTTTAGCTTTCTTTGATTACAGAACTCAAGGTATTGTTCCAGGTAGATTCAAATTCTGGAATTGACCAGATCTACCTTGGTTTAATTTCTGCAAGCTGTTTACAGGAACCTTCTGTTGGACATACATGAGTCTGTGTTGTCTTCTAATTGCTTGGAATATCAGAAGTGCCAATTGGTTAGGATCAGGGGTGGGATTCTACCAGTTCGCACCTATTCATTAGAACCAGTTGTTAACATTCTAGGCAGTTCGGAGAACTGGTTGTTAGAAGAAATTATTGGCCTAAACCTGTAAGGAAGGCAGGAAGGAAACATTCTGGGGTTGCTTGCAGAAACTGCCTCTCTGTTAACCCTTATTACAATCTTGGCAGGACTAGACTTCCTGTCTCAGGAACATCTCTGGAGTTTTTTTCCCCTCCTTTGCTGGTACTTTGCTTGTGTGGAGTGACCATTCAAAGTTACAATGGCACTGAAAAAAGTGACTTATGACCGTTTTTCACACTTATGACTGTTGCAGCATCCCTAGTCACAAGAGGCCAAGCGAGGAGATGCGTGCCTCGATGTGAGTGATATTGAGTTGGCGACACCCAGCCAATAACATGACCAAGCCACCCAGTCACATGACCACCAAGCCATACCCACCCACTAAGCCATGCCCACAGAACCGGTTGTTAAAAAATTTGAATCCCACCCCTGGTTAGGATATAGATAGATCTGCAAGTTAACTGCAACATTACAATTCAAAGCATATAGTTGAATGTCTTTCTCTAAATATAAGTCAAAACTATCTTTTGAATTGTCTGATTTTTCAGCAATCTGATGCATAAAAAATATAAGCTAAAGATTATTCAAGAAAAGAAAAGAAAAAAAATGGAGAATCTCCTACTGGCTCACACATAATCAGCATTACCAAATTGCAAATAAGGTATATATTGTTTTTAAAATTATCTATCATGCCAGGATGTCAGAGTATTGGTGCACAGAAAAAAGGTAGTATAGATAATAAGCTTCATTGCTTTTAATTTTTCTTGCCCTCTTTTCATTGATGCTGCTGGTAGAAAATGAGGATGGTATTGGGAATATATAAATAGGCACAGTGACTAACAGCCTGCATAAGTTGAAGAAAAACAGGAATCAATACTTCCTTATGTACATACTATATTGATGAATTTTGCATGTGTGTGCCTAACTGCAGGAGAAAAAGAGTAGTATCTAGGGTTGAAGGAAAATCAAACACAATGTAGTGTGTACATTATGACAGATTTACACTAGAAAGACCCAAGACCAAGTTTTCATTTTAGATTGGAGTTTGCAAGCTAAGGTTTGAGCTAGACCCAAACCTTAAACTCAACTAACCTCACGGAGTTTTGATTTGGGGTTACAATAAAGAGAAATCCATAGAAGCTGCCATGGAAGCTTCCCATAGGAAAGGCAGGAGAGACATATAAAATAATATCAAGTGATGGAAGCTAACTTTTTTCAACTGATAATTTACTTCTAGTATAACATTTTCTAACGGTGTAAATGAGGTTTAGATGATCAAAATAATAATATAGAAATAGAGGAATTAAAATCCAAACAGTCAGTTTAATCACATTATGTAACTATTTGCTGTTTTAAATATTTAAAATGTCTAAAATGTTTCTAATATAAAGGAAGAACAGCAAATGAAAATGTTGTTTTGCAAATTTTTAGTTAAATCAAGTGCATGTTAACTCAGAACTAAGAGACATTAAAATTAGTGTGCATTCTGTATAACAACAGAATCTAAATATAATTCTTTAAAGTAACACTTAAATCCTAACAGCTATATTTTTAAAAATATTTTAGTATTGTACACATATTATACAATTTATTTATTGCAAGCTGATGCTAATCTTAACCATTATTAATTTGAAGTCGCCAGCTTTGTTGGGAATTCAGCTCCAATAATCTTCCAAACAGCAGTATCAAAATCCTGGGAATTGTGAAGCTGAAATTCTACATTTATAGGCTGCATTGGGTGTATTAAAATACGATAAACAAAGAAATGAAACTGCATAAATTGATAAAACATAAGGTATCATTATGTCAAAAGTTATTTATAACTTATAATTATAAACATATAAGGTTTTACATTTTTAACAGTAACAGTTATGGTAAGAATAAAAGGGTTTATTAAGTATTACAGTATAATAACTATATCCACATTACATTTATATCATATATGATATAGGACTGCAGAGAAAGATAAGGAACTGACAATTTCTTCTCTAGTGTCATCATATTATATTTTCCTTTTTCGTTAGAATCCTAGATTTAGGAGGGACTAGAAAAATCCTCTAGTCTAGTGTCTAGTCCAATACCCAGCTTATTTCAAATCCACTACAATATATCTGATAAATGAACATCTAGCCTGTTCTGACAACTCTTAATAAAGAATGTGGTACCTATTCCGTTCATTGTGGTATATAATGTGGTATCTATTCCATTCATTGACAATTAATATAATCAGGAAGTTTTTCCTGATGGATAGCATAAATCATCTCCTCCTTTATGAAAGCTTTTCAAATATTTTAAAACTACTTTTGTATCATTCCTTTGTGTAGACTAAACATAACCATGTCCTTTAACTGTTCTACATAGGACCTGGTGTCTAAATCTTTTCACAGTCTTGATAGCTTTCTTCTAAATTCAATCCAGATCATCACTCACTTTTCTGAACCGCACAGAACTGGAAAGTTATTCTAAATGAGGTCTGACCAGGGCAGAATAGAGAATACTTCTTGTTATCTGCGCTCCTATCAATATGCCCCCAAATGATGTTTATTTCTTTAGCAGCTATATCACATTGCTAACTAGTATTTAAATTACTAAACCATATTTGTGCCTTACATTTTTTCATGCCCAGTTGCAGAACTTTGTCTCTCATTAAAAATTAATTTCATTCATTTCAACCTGTTGCTCAAACCCATTTAATGTTGAATCTTCTTTCACCTAAAGTGTTAGTAACCACCCTCAGTGTTGTGTCATTTATACATTTTAAAAGCGTCCCAACAAGTGGTACCCTACTTGATTTTTCTCTTTAAGGTGAAATGGAACCGTTAAGGACTATTGGTCATTCAGCCAACCGGGAGTTCAAAAATGAACAGATCAATTATTTCATGTGAGGAGGGGACAGTTCATATCAGCCTTTTCCTTTGCGCTTTTATTCTATTAGTAGACATTCCACTTAACAGTCAGACTTCATTCTCACTACTTCATTCAAACTTACAGAATAGGAAACAAGGGGGGGGGGAAATGACATGTTAGTCTCTCGACCCTTCCCTCCTAGAAATTTTGCCCCCCCCTCCCCCCAGCCTTGTGAAAAAAAGTAAAAGAAAACTGCACTTCATATGCGATCAGTGAGAATACCATTGGTCCGGATAAGTGGATGCTGTTGTGATTTCTTTATTTTCCGTCTGAATACTGTAGCCAATTTGTAATCGGTGGCGACAGAACTTTTTCCCCCTCCCTCCCCGAAACCACCTCCGTTCTATTTTGCAGAGCAGAGGGCTCCAAAAGAAGAAAAAAACGGCATTTGAGGCCGCCTTCGTCTTCTCCCGCCCTCCAGGAGAACTACAATTCCCGTGATGCCTGTCAAAGGCGGCAAGAGCCGAGCGGAAGGCGTCGGCCTCGCAGAGGCGGCGAGTAGCTCTATCCGGGGCCTTGGCGCTTCTCTCCTCCTTTCGCGCCGCCGGCTGCCGCTGTGGAGCGGTGGGTCCATGTGCGCATCGAACGGCGCTGCCGCCCCAGATCTCGTCCGCGTTGCCTGTCTCGGCCTCGACCGCACCGCCATGGACCCCAACACCATCATTGAGGCCCTGCGGGGCACCATGGACTCCACGCTGCGGGAGGCCGCAGAGAGGCAGCTGAACGAGGTGAGAAGGAGGCGGCGGCGGCGCGGCCCGGCCCGGCCCGGCCTAGGAGCGCGGCATACAGGAGAAACAGTCCCGGCGCCAAGGCCGGCGGGGGCTGGCTGGGTGGGGGATGCGAGTCGGGGACACCAATCGCGGCCACGAATTGGGTCCCAGGCACAGGCAGGAGAGAGAGAGAGAGAGAGAAATCGGGTGTGCGAACCCCGAATTGCGTCTCGACTAGAGTTGGGGACGCGGTTAGGAGATGCAGGTCCGCGATGGGCTCCGAAGTGGCGAGGGATCAACTCGGTGGCACCTGGGAGGTCACCTCCAGTCTAGAGAAGGAGCCAAGGCTGAAACTTGGGCCAGGTTGTCGCCGGTCGCCTTGCTATTTACGCACGTGCAGACGCACCTGGAGGGCGAGGAGAGAGGCCCAGGCGCGGGCCTGACGGAGCCGCCTTTCCCAGAGTCAGAAGTGAAACGTGGGCAGGAAGAGGAAAGGAGGCGGAGGAGGCAAGAGCGTGGACGGGGCGAGGGAGCCAGGCCGTGTGGCGAAGCGCGGTTTTGGGGCGGAAGGGAAGAAGGCCTCTCCCGCAATCGAGCCTAATGTCAGGCCCTTTCCCGCTCCCTCAAGCATTGTCTCCGGGCACGTGGCAGCTCCGTCCTCATCTGAGGAAGATCGTCAGTGCCCGGCCCTTGCCCGCCTTCTGCCATGCCTTGTAGGCAGGAGCCAGAGTCGCTTGCTCATGATAGCGAGAAAAATTTCAAACGGGTCCTTTCTGAAACTGACGGCAGAAAGATTCTAGTGCAGGAGACCGAGGGTGTCCTTCTTCCTTATATGGACGCAAACTTTGCTGTTTAAGGTTAAATTTAGCGGCGGGAAAAAGAAGACGGCTGCTGAAGCCACCTTTCAGAGGGAAATAGCCCGTATTGCATTTTCACTAATTGCACAGCACACACTTTGATTTATAAGTGTGCACATCTGTGAATCAAAAAGTGCGTTTAAAACCAACTTCATATAGTTTCACAGCGTTATGCCCAAGTTTTCAATTAAAATTTGAAATATAATAAGCTAATTGGGAAATAGATTTTAAAGAGCAAGAAACCTCATGGAAATAGTCAGAATGTCACAGGCAACATGCAACTTACATCATGATTATGATTCAATGGAAAGCCCCACAAGCATGAAGAATCAATGTGTATTTGATATACGTGTACTGAATGAAATGCCTAGCTTTCTCTGAAGAATTATATCTTAGGCCTTTTTGTTGTTTTCTAATCTGAATCTTTCAACATGTAATTATAGCCAGGATATTCAAGCTATCTAAAATGGATACTTTATTATTTCAATTTATGGCCACCCATTCAAGATGACATTGGAAACCTAAATGTATTAAAAGAAAAATATAAAAGCATAAGAACAGAAATAAATGATACACGTGAAACACCAGCCAGGGTAAAGATCAAAGCAGGAAAAAAACTTGGGTGAAGTATGAAGGGCCTTACAAATACTGTTTACTACCCAAATTATGCGTAATTCTTTATTATACTGTCTGGAGATCTAAGAGTGATAGGCAGTCCTGGGGATGGTTGGTGGCTTGAGGGTGTTCATCTTTTTTTAAAAAACTGCTGTTCTGCTTTTAAATCTTTCTAATGCTGTCTTTTTATATGGCTTTTGGCTATCAATTGTAAACCACCCAGAGTCACTCAGAGATGGATGGTGTATAAATTTATAAAATAAATTATAGGAATTATGCTAAATTTGACCATATTAAGTCAAGTGAACCACCTTTCATATGCATTTTGATGTATGAAGGATGTTTTGACTTTGGTCTGAATGATTGAAGCTTGAAAGTAAAGTTGGTGACAGTGTTTTATTGATTGCTGCATATCTTAAGTAGCAAATCATGGGAAGGTCCATTGTGGTTCTTAGGTAATTTGCTATGCTTATTTGAGTTCTACTGTTCTCATGGTTTAGAAAAAGGGGTCTCCAACCTTGGCAACTTTAAGGCTTGTGGACTTCAACTCCCAGAATTCCTCAAACAGCTTTGCAGGCTGAGGAATTCTGGGAGTTGAAGTCCACAAGTCTTAAAATTGCCAAGGTTGGAGACACTTGATTTAGAAGAGATTAAGGTATTTTGTCTGTGAAACAAGAAATCACTGTGGTTTGCTACTTCTGGAAACAGAAATTTGGAATGATCACACCATCTCACTGAGTTAAGTTAGCTAACAATTGTTTTTGATCTCTGAAAATGAGTTAAGTGTAGAAATACAAAGGAGATAATATTAATTAAAAAAAATCTGGAAAGGACCCTGACAAGTGGTGTCATGAAGTCTGTGGTGCTCAAACTGAGGTAAAGAAGATGGAATGAAGAAAGTTTTAGATATATTTTAAAATTCACACTGTTCATGCGAACTACATTTTGTGGCCCAAAGGCTATCTTCTTAATTTAGCCTGATTAAAATATACTGAGTTATAGTTCAACTAATATACAAGTGTGTACTAATATACTTTTTGCATTAAAAATTGCCTGGTTTCTCTACATACATATCAAAGCTCCATTTTATTAATTACATATTATAACTATTCTTAGCATAAATACCAAAAAGGATGCAGCTTTAATTTTCATGAGAAAAAAAATCTGATAATGAAGTAGCATTGTTACATCAGAAATATTGAGATAATTTGTATATTGAGATATTGTGAAAATGAGAATTGCCTTACTTAAACAATATACTGGTGTGCCATTTGGCTTCTACTCATCTAAGTAACTAAGGTGTTTGTCTAAGCTTTTGTTTAAAGTGGGGAAATTTGCGATATACGCAAATATACGATTTATACGTATACGATTTAAAGATTTTGAGCACAGATATGCTAATTGATGTGATCTGAGAACACAATTCGATCATTTGCCATACCCAAAAACCACTACAATACTTTTGTTAAGTACAAGTTTTGAACCTGTACTTAACAACATGTAATATGATAGGTTTTGAATAAGAGTAACAATTTTACAGCATTTGTAATATATATTACAGTCTGCATTTTCTGAATACAATTACAAAGAATTGTCAGTATTTTTAATGTTTTATGATAAAGCTGCTTGTATTTATTTAATTTTTCATTCTTGTTTATATTTTGCATTCATTTTAAATTCTTATTTTTTTCCAATTCAACAAGAGCCAGTTTGGTATAGTGGTTAAGGCACCAGGCTAGAAACCAGAAGACTTTGAGTTCTGGTCCCACCTTAGACATAAAACAGCTGGGTGACTTTTGGGCCAACACTCTGTCAGCCCATGGCATCAATTCCAGTGACAAGTCATTGGGTCAGTTCTTGTCAGATCCAATAGATCAACACTTGGTTGATCTGAAAAAAGACCTTTCTGAAAAAAGGAAGGATGAAAAAGAAAGAACAGTTCTTTCTAACTTCTGTTCTCTTTTCAGTATTCTGTATATTCTACTGAGAACAGAAGAGAGCCAAATTTGGTACAGCAGAGAAGCTGGAGGGGAAAAAATCACATTAAAATGGGTTTGATCCACTTAGTGCTACATATAAATTAAATTCCCCACTGCATCCCTACATTGATCAGTTCATTCTAAGCCTGCTTTCCTACTCACTCCTAGCTATGCAGAGGTATTAAGGGTTTAGAAAGAATTCGAGAAATGCTCAGCTTGCTTTCTCTACCTTGTTTTTTTTACATCATACACTTACCCAGATGAAGTAAATTTTCTTTCACTTTATTTTATTGTTATTGTCTATATGCAATTTAAATCTATAGGAGACTCATTTGTGTCAGTTTTCAATCCATGGGGTAATTGAGGTCATACATTTGTCTTTCCAATGCTGAAGAATTAGTCTTTCGGCAACAATAAGGTCACAGAACCCATTTCTGTTGTCTAGCTGTCAGATTCCACATACTGTAATTTAAAAATATGCATCCAAAAATAAACATTAAGACATTGTAAAAAGTTTTAAACAAGTGTTATTTGTTGCATCTCCAACGAGGCAATAATTTACTTGTTCATTTTCTATATAAACACATGGTCCACTAAATCTGAGATAGTTTTTTTTTTTTAAATAAATTGTAAGATCCAAGTACATTTTTAACATTGGGTAAAAAAATTGCTATTTATTTAAAAAATCCAGTTCTTTACTCCATTCTTTTATGTTTGTATATCAAATTAATGTTTTGATAACAGGTATTTATAAATAATGTTTTTAGACATTTTGGCTTTCCAAGTGTGCCCCAGGCTGAAAATCTCCAGGTAAAGATGTTAGTAAATCTTCTAATGTAAATACTGCCAGTGAGTGGTAATTGACAAATGATATTTATCTTTTAATCTAGAAAATTATTAAAACTTATTGATACTATTTACTACCGGATATAATGTAAAGATCCCAGCATAGATCCAGATTCTCCATACAGCTGTTTTTAATCAGTATTGAGATCTGGATTACCTCATAGGATTTAGCGTAAGAAAAAATTTAAATGCATTTTTCAAGAAATAACATACTACACATTTATGTATTTATGCAAATTTGTCTACTGATTTTAATCTAATAGCATTAATAAGCATAGAAACAGGATATACTGGTATCTGTGTCTATACTTCGTAGTATATGAGCAGCAAAAGAGTTAGGCAGTTGTGCAAAAATACTGTAAATTAAGATTATTTTCAGAAATAGAAATATTTAGTTTGTCAATTAACAAAACAGAAAGTAAATGAACAGAAGAGAATTTCAAATCAAATCAATATTTGGTGTGACCGCCCTTGCCTTCAAAACAGCATTAATTATTCTAAGCACATCGTTTTTGAAGGCACTCAGAAAGGTTCCTTCAACGTTGTTCCAAACATCTTAGAGAACTAACCACATAGCTTCTGTGGATGGCTCTTGGCGGTGGGGGGCAAACTATCTCTTCTAGGATTTTTTGTTCTTTACGCTGAAGATAGTTTTTAATGACATTGGCTATATGTTGGGGCTGTGGTCCTGCTGCAGATTTGAGGCCAATCACATGTCTCC